CATACACACTACATGTATCTTGATATGATATAATTTTTCATGTTTCATTATCTCTTCTTTTGTTTTCCTTCTTTTCCTTTTTCTTCGCCCTGATTACTTTCTGTAAAAAAAAATTTTTTTAAAGCACACCCAAAAACAACCAGACTCCCCTCCCCCTCCCCCCTCCCTCCCCTCTCACACACGTACAAACCTTGACGAGTAAGGCAATGTATTTAGCATTTACCACTGTTCACCATTTACCTACCGGCCTCTATGGAGCAGCGGGCGGGCACTTAATAATCACCATCGCACACAAAAGACATGAGTTCAATTCTCGTGTGGGGAGAATTTTTATCGAGCAGCATGATACATTTATTTATTGTTATCTCAGTCTTTCTGCTGGGAAGTTGCATCCGCCTCAGCTCGCTTTGGCCATAATAGGCAGCGCCCGATGTCCGCCATTTAAATTATCTAAATTGTTTTGATGGGGGTATAAAACACTTTGCATTATGAAAAAACAAAAATAAACACAAACAAAAACAAGAAAATCCAAGAAACATTTACCTGAATGTCGCTCTCCTCTAGCAAGCTGCTGCCTCAAGTCGCACAAGTCTGTGTGGAAGAAAACCGTAGCCTACTCAACTGTTTTCCGGAACGGCACTACTCACTATTTCTTTGATCAGATCGCAGACCTATCTAGAATAGAGGTTGTCTTATGAACGGCCGCTGGTAGCCGAGGAGGTTTTTTATTTTCTAAAATAACGTCCGGCTCTCTGATTACTCACCTACGGATATCCTGTAGGCTACTGCGTCCGGGATCCCCTTCCCTCACGCCGAAAACAGAGCCCTCGTCCGTAACCACCCCATGACCTCGCTTTCTCAGAACCCTCACAGTACACCCCCCCCCTCCTTTCCACTTTCCACACCTCCCATTATTTCTCCACCTGTACCAACGAGGTTAGATTCTATTCAGACATATTATTCTAAAGGCCTTGACCTGCACCAACCTTTACCGTCATTGTATTCCTTGTTTACATTTTTTCACGGCTCTAATGATAATAATAATAAAAATAATACTAATAATAACAGGAGTAGTAACAGTACATCTTAGCTCCTCCATCAAGAACTTTTGGTGACCTTTATTAACTTTCCAGGAAGAAGAGCAGTAAGTTGTAGACATGCTAGTGGCTACCATAGGCGTGAATGTTGATAAATTTTAATGGTCGCACGAGTCGAATGGGCACAGCTCTCATGAGTAGCAGACCAAGAACCAAGATCGAGAGAGAATTATTATCTTGAATAAAAATTATTGCTTTCATGATTCTTTATAATTCGTAATTCTTTAAAATTCTTATACCTGGGTCATCCATCCACCAGAGCCAGATGGTTGCTAAGATGAATTAACGGCGCCTGGCTGGAACTTTTAGAAATGAAAGCAACAACGTTTTTTTTTGGTGCTTCGTTTGGATGATGATGATGATAAATAAATTGGTCATAATAGTAACAATAATAGTGATAGTAGCAATTATACTACTACTACTACTACTACTACTACTACTACTACTACTACTACTACTACTAAAATATAGGTCGTTCAATTGAAAAGGAAAAAAACCCTTTTTGCTGACTCTTGATATCATACATCGACATTTTTCCAATTTCCACAGTGAATATGTTTGAACTTGTCTTTGTAGCACACACGCGCGCGCACACGCGCGCGCGCGCGCGCGCGCGCACACACACACACACACACACACACACACACACACACACACACACACACACACACACACCAATGAATATGTTTGAACTTGTCTTTGTAGCACACACACACACACACACACACACACACACACACACACACACACACACACACACACCACACTGAATATGTTTGAACTTGTCTTTGTAGCACACACGCGCGCACACACCCCCCCACACACACACACATACACACACACACACACACACACACACACACACACACACTGCGCTCGCGTGCTTGGAAGACTCGGTGTGAGGATTTGAGAATGCTGTTGTAGTAGCCTACATGTATTCGAGAGACAAGTTGAAAGTCTTCAATGCAGCTGTCCTTCCAACCCCGTGGTGCGTTGCTAAGACGTGTACAGTGTACTATAGTATAGGCCATGCCAAGAATAAAGTAAAGAAGCTTAACCTTTTCTAACTGAAATGACCAGAGAGAATTTTTGGCATCATAATATGGCAGGACAAAGTTTAAATACATATACCAGAAACCACAGTTTCCAATCCAGGCAAATGCTACGAATCTGTTTTCTTAGCTCATTAATTATAAGGAACGACGAAGGGAAAGACCCATCGTTGCTCAACGTAGTCTTAGCATCCTCAGTCGTTTCGTCGAAAGGGTTCGTGTAAAGACTAAAGATGAAACTACCCTACTTTTACTAGTCCGGGTTCAGAGCTTGATTGCTAGTCGATACAGGTGAAGCCCTCGGTTTCTGCGAACGTCTGCCCTCAATTTTTCTATACTGGAGGGAGGTTAGGAGGTTATAAATAGAATTCTAATAAGCTCTTTGGTGTTGGGCAGGAATTCTTATTAGTTCAGGTATAGGAAAAGAACGAAACTCGCAGTGAGGCTTTGGAGATCGCCGCAGCTGCTGGGCCCGAGGGGCTGTTTCCGGATCATGCCGTAAACATTTAAAAAACACCTTTCTCCCTTTGAGAGCAGTCCTGATACATGCACTGATTTCGTAGAACAGGGTAAAAATCTTATATAAAATAACGCGCACTATGTTTGGACCTATACTCTTGGTATCGAATAAAAGGGGGGTGTTGTAATTTTATAAAAAAAAAGGGGGGGGGGGCATTATCAACCTCCTCACACCCGTGTACTAGCAGGAACAAATCTGTTTTATTTCTCTCTCAGTGAATAAAAGAACAAGAGATCATGAAATTTTTAGTGATTTTAGTAAGTTACCGTGACAAGTTTTCCTCATTTAGGAACAAATCAGTTTCATGAAAAAAATATAGATATAATGCTAATGTTTCACGTGATCGGCGGTCGTGGCAAGCCGGAAAATAATAAACGGGAGGTATGCAATAAAGAGCGGGGGAGGGGGGGGTGCGCACAAAAACCCCATGAAAATCAATAAGCGGGGTTGGGGGAGGGGGGGGGGGCGCTTATTCGATACCTTAGAGTAGGCCAACTCAAAGGTCAATGACTCGGTCATCTGTGCACTAATTTCAACAAAACGTCGGACATATACAATTTATCCGGAGGGATGTCAGGTTTGTAAATATTATGAAGAAAGCCGGTCAACTTGTTCTAGAAATATCTAGTTTTAAAAATTTCAACCAAAATTAGGTACAATGCAAACAAATTATTTATTCTCAAAAGAGTCCTGCTCTTGGAGCGTGATCAGTCCGTTCTAGTTTCAGGACGAGGACGGTAAAAAAAAAGCACGACAGTCACATCAGATGGGTATCTTACTGTGCTGAGAAAGTTTAGTAGAACTTAGGGGTGGGGGTGTTGTTCTGTTGAGGAGACCCGGTGCGAGTGGGATATGGAGCCACTCCCTACACATCAAGAGTGGCCCTTGTATGGTCGCAAGAAAGGTTTGGGAAAAGCTTTATAAACTGAAAGTTTACAAATAAATGCTGGTCACTGAGCTTCCCTGACCTGTACCCCCTCAATCAATTATCTTCTTCGTTTTTTTCATGTTTTTTCATACAGGGTCCATGGAAACAACCCCAAAAACAGTTGAACGGTTGGAACTATTTATTATTATTAATGTCGAACAGATACAAGGTCCAAAGAATTGACTTTAAAACATCTATCTTTGGAAACATGCCACGTACGTATTATTAAAAAACACCGGTGAAGTATTAATGAAGCTTGCATGGAGATACATGTAAATGGTCAACACTTGGAGCAAACATTTAAATAATAATCACCTTCCCCGAGTTTATTTGGCAAAACCAATTTTGTATAAATTTGATTCTCATTACACGTTATTTGAATGAAACAGTAATATTGTTGATTTTTAAGAAGTTGCATTGCATTTCACTCATTTTGACTGAATTTTTCTAAAACTTGATGTTTTTCGAATATGTAAGTTGATTTTCTTCATATTGACAAATGTAGAGTCCCCGTAGTGGAATTTTATTTTGTCAAAGTCAAAGTTTAGTCCTGTTGAAATTGATCCAGAAATGACCGAGTTTAAAATTATTACCCTTTAAATGGGGCTGGGGCTCTCTTTTTAGACACCCGGTACATACGCGCACAAAATAATTAGAGATAACAAACATAATAAAATTATCGTAGGGACATCTGAATGTCAACAACAGATACACAAACACAGACATACACGTACTCGTGCGTACACACAAATACACACAAACACACTCTAGAGAAGGCAATTTATAGGGATTAATGAAACAGATACAGGGTAGACGAGTTATCATGTGTGAGAACTAGTTTTGCGTGCGTGTGTGTGTGTGTGTGTGTGTGTGTGTTGCGTGCGAGCGCGCCCGCGCGTCTGCGCTGTCTTTGCCGTATTATGGGAAGGACTCATCCACCAAAAAAATCAAATTCGCTTTTTTCCAGCTTACAATTCACCCACTGAATCGACTTTTCAGCTGCGTTTTCAGAAGCCCCGAAGACACCACCCAGGACCTGTTACGTATACACATTATGCATCAGATAGCAACTCCGCAAGCAGGTTAAAATTAATGTTTTAAGCTCCTTGCAACTCCCTCACGCTATACACAGTCAACAGGCCCGGTTACACAGTTTGCAGGTACTTGGCAATGTCTGAGGCATCATGGTGAAATCAGGTGCTCGTTAGAATAAAGAAATCAAGGAGACCGGCATTTATGTGGCCGTTGGGCAAATCCCCCCCCTCCCCCCTTTCTTTCTGCTCAATACCTGCTGTGTCCATTTAAGAAAACATTTCTGTGTGAATTGTACTGAAAAACGTTTATTAAATCCAAAGGCGAAAAAAGTGTGTACTTGATTTGCAGTTTCCAAGGACCCAAGCTATAGAAGTCACCAAACTTTGGCAGCCATTCTCTCGCTAACTTTACCTCTGAACCATGGGGACCCCCTTCTCCTTCAATTGCAAATATCTTGACTTCTATTGAAGATAGACGGGTATTTTTTCCGTCAAATGAAAGGCAAAATTTAATGAACATACTTTTAAAGATGATACTGTACTAAAAACTCCATATGCCCAAAAATTGACGAGCGCCTGATTCCACCGCGTCGTGTGACATTGAAATCGCTGGAGCGGGAGAAAATTTACAGATGTACACTTGTGGAGTGAGAACAGTTTTTAACTTCTTGAGACTGCCGATGTATCCTTCACTTTAACCTTTGCGGCTGCTTGGGTATTTTATTTATATTTTGCAGTCACAACTGCATAATGTCATATGAGTTAAACATGTTCAGTTTGGTGGGAATTTTGAATTTTGCCAGAGCGGCTGCCGAAGCCCACTCTTAGGCAAGGTGCAGGTGCACACGGGGAAATTTTAGTTGCACAACAGTTGCTGTCCCAGGGCAAATTCTTTTATACATCGCGAGCACAGAGCTAAGCAGGGGGCTCTCGTGGCCTAGAGGTTAAGGTGTTGTCCTCTCATTCTTCAAAGGTCCCGGGTTCAGATCTGGGTAACGACCGAAACATTTTCTTCTCTAAAATGGTCTCCTTTCACTTCTTTTCCTGCTTTCTAGCTATGTTCTGTCGTCTGCTTTCGTCTCCTCTTTCTGCCCCCCCCCCCCCCGCCCCCTCACGTCCTTTGCCCCCTCCTCTGGGTTCCAGAATCTTTCTGCAGCCTTTCTACTGCTACTCCTTCATGGCTCCTTCTTAATGCTGTCTTTCAGCCACACACCTGATCTTCAGGTAGGAAAGATCTACACCTAGCCTTCTTGGACAAGGGCGAAAATATCTAGGAGGGCCCGTGTGGCCGTGTGCAAGTTGCACACGTTAAATATCCCTGAGTGGTCTAAAATCAATAAGAGCAGGTTTCGGCCGCCACCCGGGCAAAATTCAAAATTTCCTACCGACTGAAAAAGTTTAATGTGTTCCGCGCTCATACATGATTTTATGCAGTTGCGAGCGCCGTAAAACACTTATCAATTTTTTTTTAAAAGGGGAAAAAAGAAGAGCTAAGCAACAGCCAGGCAACAGTAGGCTATCATCATTACTGACATTACTGACTTCCTCATTTGACGCCATGGACTTCCACGACGCAGTTGTTGTCTGTGCTCTTGTGATTGCACTTACAAAAAAGAAAAGGAAAAAGCGGTTTTGGGTTTACCCTTTGACCAGCCAGAGGCTTTTAAAATGGCATTTATTTTGTCAAACTGCATGGAGATCCTACCAGAGCAGTCATGCCAATTTATTAAAATTTTACATTGCCTTTTTTCCCTATAGCCAAAGATCTAACTAGATCTGGATCGCTTTCAAAATATTGTATATTTGGCTTATTCTATCTGAAATTAGATTAAAGTATTTTTCATTTAGATATTATCTAAAAAGCTTGACCTGGACAGTAACTCCTCTCCTTTTCCTCAATTAGCAGTGACTAACGTTTTCATGGCTTATTGGAAATGAAGTTTAGATATTTATACTCTTGACACACTCTCCTGCTTTGACTTGTCTTTTATATTTCCTCTGGACTCCGATCTTCCCAGTTCTCAATCACAGCCTCAAAAACCTCGACCCAAGCTTTCTTTTTCTTATCTCTGTCAGCATACTCATCTGAGGTCTTGTTGTTGAGGACAGGCTTCTTTTCAAGGATACAAATACATTTTTCAATCAAGTTGAATCGCTCTCCGTTTTCTTTTCTTGCGGAACTGAAACAATGTGTTGTGTGTACCCCTGTTAAGTCTGTTGTGCTAAGTGAAACAATGTGGAGAGTGGCGGGGCCTTGTCGAGTCCAGAGACAGTTTAGTTGCTTGTGAGCGTGCTTGTGAGCGCTCTGTGTCAGTTCGGTATGTAACACAGGAGATTTAAGCAACAGTTAGGTTGCCGGAAAGTTGTGACAAAACACACACTTTTTAGTCTCCAAAAACATGAGTTGCCTGTGCGGTGGAGACGAAAGCAGAGAGTAGACAGAAATAGTTAGAGAGAAAGAAAGAAAGTGAAAGGAAAAAAAAATAATGTCAGGTTTCGAACCGGGGACCTATCAACAACCCCCAGTTTATGTACTCCCCCCCC